GTCACAACAGAGTCTGCTTCAGTCACTTCAGGGCAGATGTTTGTTTTCTAAATGGATTGATAGCCCTCTTGAAAGGCCAGTGACGTGCTTCCCTCTTTTTTTTTTTTTTTTAAGACTAAATGTATTGCTAGCAGATATGGCATCAAATACTGTCTTAAAGAAACACAGTTGCCATTTAATGTGTAATTTTGATTAGAAGGCTGTACTGTTATTTAGGTGCCTAGCTAATCGTCAGTCGTGACTTTAATGAAACTGAAGATTAAGTTGTTAGGCAGCATAGGGTTTCTAATTAAATTACTACTTTGGCCTCACCTACAAATTATTTTCAAAATAACTTCAGTAGCTACTGTTTTTGAACTTGAGCATGTTTGCGTCTTTGTTGTCATCTAGGTCCACGCTATTCCTCTGCGCTCCTCGTGGGTCATGACCTGTGCGTATGCCCCTTCTGGGAACTACGTGGCCTGTGGTGGCCTGGATAACATTTGCTCCATTTACAACCTGAAGACTCGCGAAGGAAATGTGCGTGTGAGTCGTGAACTAGCCGGACACACAGGTACGTGTTCTCACCAGCAGCCTTGCCCTATCCACCTGGTGGACGTTCTGGATGTTCTGGACGTTCTCAGTTCTGCTCGGTAATTATTTAACGAGATTGGCTGCAATAATGGCAGAAGTATTCTGAAGTTAAAAGCAAAGACGGGCCTTGATTCTCCTTCACCAGCAAGAAACCTTTGGGTTTAAGTCCCTGTGGTGTCCCCTTTTCGAGGGTCTCGGGCACGTATGCCACTCTCGGTCTCCTTTGAACCATCTTCCATCCTGAGCACCTTCCCACAAGAGTTTGCAGTCTGAACAGACAGGCATGTGTGCAGGCACTGTGTGTGTACGTGTGTGTGTGCGTGCTTATGTGCAGTCACCATGTGTGTAGGCACTGTGTGTGCACTGTGTGTATGCAGGCATTGTGTGTACACATGTGTGTGCAGGCACTGACCCATAGGCATCACTGAGCGTCCTTGCATGCTTCACACATCTGCACACCGGCGAGTGCTCTTGGTGCAGAGGACACAGCCTGCAGGCCGTGCGGCTTGCTGGAACAGAGCAGCTCTGCATGTTGGGTGGGGCACCCTCTCCCAAGTTCAGTTTCCTGTGACCGCTGCTGTAACAGAAGCACTGTGTTTCTGGAAAAGGTCTTGTCCTATTTCACTTCAACAGTTGTTTTCTCCATACTGATAGGAGTGCCCCACACACCCTTCACGTCAGGTGTGCTTCTAGTTCTGGAGTTTCTTTTTGCCTTTGAAGTAACAGCTCTTTTCTGTTGAGATTTCCTGGTTTTGTTTATCACAAGCATGTTTTTGTATCCGTGAGCAGTTACAAGAGCTGCCGATTCCAGCAGCGAATCCTCTTGAGACAGGACTTGGTGCTCGTTTCTCTTGAATGTGGATGGCATGTTTCTGTGTCTTAGCCCAGCTAGTAATTTGGAATTGCATCTGGACGTGGGGGTGCTGTGTCATGAACTGGGTCCCCTGAAGTACTGATGTTTTGTTCCATCAGGCGGCAGCAGAAACCTGCTCCGTCCTGTTCTCAGCAGCGGGCATGGGGCCTGCTCACTGCCTGCGGTTCAGGTGGGAGCCAGGTGTCTGGGCAGTTGGGGATGATTGAGGCTCTTGTTGCTCTCTCCTTTCACTTCCGACTGGGGCTGCCCAGAAGTCTGTCCACTGGCTCTTCAAGGTCAGGCCACAGTTCCTCCCTATGAGGAGCAGCTGTGGGGAGTTGGTGCTGAATGGGGACTTGTCTTCAGGCCCATCCTTCAGTGCAGGCTGCCCCTGTCCTGGCTGGCCTTGGTTCACCATGTGGTCCCAGTGTCGCTCTGGACATGACATGGCCTCCAGGAGTGAGTGACCACACGTCGTTTTCTAGGCATATAGCTGGTGTTTTGAAATTGTCATCTCTAAATACTTTTTATGTGGGAGCCAGTTTAGTAATATTTGTTCAGTAGTTGCTTTATTTTCTCGATATTCTTACTTTTTACATCAAAACCCTTCAGTGGGTTTTTATTTTGGGTGTGTTGTGTTTTTTATTTCACTTACCGCAGTCACACATGGCCCTGCTGGTGAGGGGTAGGGTGTCCCTTCCCTGCAGGAGCTGAGTGCTCATCTCTGTTGCTGCGACAGGGCAGCCACGTGCACGCGCCATTGGGGCTGGGGTTGCTCACCCTGCATCCCTGGTTCTCAGGGCTACTCAAGAGGACAAAAGCAGAGACCTGGTCAGCAGAGCTAATTGAGTAGAAATCATGATACAAAGTGGATCTTCTTTGCCTATCCTGGTTCCAAAAGCTGGCCAAGGTGGGCATCTCCGCCAGGCTGTGTCCCAGCCTCTGTGCCGGGGCTCTGCTTGCCAGTCCACACACTCAGGCGACACAGCCACCTTCACGCCCACTGGTCTACTGCAGCTACAATCTGTAGCTGACAGATCTGCTTCCTACCTGGCACCCGGTCCCACTGTGGCTGTGCAGGGTTCAGGGGCCTCTGCAGACCACCCTGTCCTGCTCTGCTCTGCTCTGACACCTGTGTGCCCCAAATGCTCTGTCCGTCCACTCTCCCCACGAGAGCGGGGGCTCCAAGGGGACAAGAAGCAGTCTTCTGTTCATGGAAATCTCCCTGGGTGGTGGGGGGGGCACACTCCAGGCACCCAGGGCTCCTGTGCACTGAGTCAGGGAGGGAGGGAGGAGTTGGGCAGGGATCCATCCTCACTCTCACTCGTGTCATGAGAAGAACGTCGGCATGGGCACCAGAGGAGAGCGTGTGCCCCGTGCATGGTTGCCCCAGTGCCCTGTAGGGCGCAGTGCCACAGCCTCCTTGGTCCTGGGGTTCCCAGCTGGCCTGTGTGCTGCTTCCTGCCCACGGACTGATGCAGGGCTGACAGGCAGGGTCTTCCCCCATTCTGCCTACGGTTTTCTGTTTACCAGACTGTAGAATAGCGGAGCTTGCAGATTTGGGTCATCATCTGGATCTGTTTTCCAGGTTACCTGTCCTGCTGCCGCTTCCTGGACGACAATCAGATTGTTACCAGCTCTGGAGACACCACCTGGTGAGTACCTGAGCTCTGCGCCCTTCTCTCATGGCTCCGGCACACCCGCAGCTCACAGCTCTGGGCACAGAGGAAATAAGGTTCTTGCTATGAATTAGGGTGTCTGTTTTGTGAAATGGCCACAACCTCGGTCCAAGAGGTAGTGAGAGATAAGTGAGTTCATTGTACTTTGTGGATTTTGAAGCTTGTTTAGACATGGAACCTATGGTTGTGTTGGAAGTACCTGCTGTCCTTGTCCTGCCAGCAGCCCTCGGGCAGCAGTGCTTTAGTTTCCCTAGGAGAGCACCATCTGTGGGTGCTAAGCACAGCCCCAAACCTCAGGGTCAGGACTTCAGTGGACTACAGCAGGTTTCTGAGTGTATCGAGCTCTCACTTTCCCTATAGCTAGAAGCCCACTTAAGTAAACTCTAGAATGTGTTCTCTTGTGGCTCTAAGCCCTGTAACATCAGTGATCAGATAGTTGTTTTATAAGAATCATGTTAGACTTGATCTGTCCTGGTGGGTTTTCGTGCCCCTATGAGGCCCAGACACTGAGTCCCGAGGGCAGTGGGGGTCCCTGTGCTGGCACCCACTCCCTCCCCCAGCTCGGCCTGTTTTACAAGGCATGTCATAGACGTATCATCTAGACATTCAATTTTGGGGAAGGATTTCTTTATGAGAAGAGGTTTTTTTAAGCTTTTTCTTTAATGAGCCGTTTCTCTCAGACTCCTAGAAGTGTCTTGTTCCTTTTCTTGTAGTCCCTCGGCCCTGGTGAAGCTGCGTCCGTGCAGCAGAGGTGGAAGTAGTCTGGTTGGGTTTGCAGTGCCTGTAGCTCACTCACTCACATCTGTGGCTGGATGTTGTGTCGGCTTTGTTTCCCTTCCAAAGTCGCATGGCGAGTCTGAACTTGTCTTGAGTAAAAGCACACAGGTTCCTGTGGTCCCTGGTTCTCTGAGAAGGTGAAGTGACTGTGTGTCTTGTCTCTGCTCCAGTGCTCTGTGGGACATTGAGACGGGTCAGCAGACGACCACGTTCACGGGACACACCGGGGACGTCATGAGCCTCTCTCTCGCTCCTGACACCAGGCTGTTTGTGTCCGGTGCTTGTGATGCTTCCGCTAAACTCTGGGATGTGCGAGAAGGGATGTGCCGGCAAACCTTCACCGGCCACGAGTCTGACATCAATGCCATCTGTGTGAGTTGGGGTAACCTGTGGGTCAGGTCCTTTGCCAGCCATTCACGAGTTAGATTAGTTACTGTTAACTACAGAGTACTCGTTTAATTTTTAAGTGCTTTCAGGTTTAGATGGCCTCTATTTTCTATGCAAATACAATGTAATTTACAGAACACTCCCTGTAAAAGACCTAGAAGTGGTGTAGTCTGTCCTTGGGAGCCAGTTAATTCTGTGCTGGCTGTGTCTTTTGTGCGCTGGGCCAGCTCCCAGTCGTGGGGTATCAGGGATTCCCTCTGGGTGGGGGCAGACAGTGCAGTAACTCACTGAGCGTGCAGCTCCTGCGGGCAGGGCTTCCCTTTTCCACATCACCTGACTGGAGGGGCCTGGCCTTGAGGGGAGCTGTGCAGATGCATCTGGTTGGTTTCGGGGACCCTTCCCTGCCTTCCTCCTTGGGGCTCTTCTGACTGCTGGCTGTCTGGGGAGAGGCACAGGCCTCGGGGATGACCACACTCTACTGCTCCCTTGGCAAAGATTAGTAAAGCAAAACCTGCTGTTTGTGGAGGCCAGCCCAGCATCTGAGGGCACTCCTGGGGCTTACCCGGGGCAGAGCCCTCACATCCCAGTCCCTAGTTTGCTCAATGGGTCCCTGTAGGGTGGTCCCCAGGTTCTGCCGGCGTCCAGCCCTTGCTGACTTCCTGCTGTGCCAGCCATAGCCCTGCTCTTGGGCAGCTGGTATTTCCAGTGTTTGCTTTGTGCTTTTGCCCATCTTTGTTTTGCTTTCTCTTTCCAGTTCTTTCCAAATGGCAACGCATTTGCCACTGGCTCGGATGACGCCACCTGCAGGCTGTTCGACCTTCGTGCGGATCAGGAGCTCATGATTTACTCCCACGACAACATCATATGTGGGATCACCTCCGTCTCCTTCTCCAAGAGTGGGCGCCTCCTCCTCGCGGGGTACGATGACTTCAACTGCAACGTCTGGGATGCGCTCAAAGCCGACAGGGCAGGTAGGTGATGGCAGGAGCCTTTCTGTGTGTCCTAGATGCTCAGGGACTGTCTTTCAAGATGGACATGACTCCTCACATAAGCCCAGGTGTTTAGGTTCCTGTCAGGCTGGCAGGAAACTTGTGTTGGGCCTGCCTGAGGATACCTGCCTGGCACCAGGGCGTGCCTGGCAGAGGACAGGAGATAGGCCAGAGGCGCCCAGGAGCTGGCCCTGCAGGCCTGGCAACCCAGTGCACCAGAAGCTTTTCCCACGCACTTATGAGGTGCGAGGGGCAGGAAAGGGGTGTGGCTTGGTCTTTAAGGCCCCGCCTTATTCTCCTTGCCCTCCAGCTGCACGTGTCAGAACTCTGTCACCTAAGTGTGGAGCACAGACCCGGGCAGGGGTGCCATGAAGTATGGTCTGAAGTTCTCACGTCTGAGGCCATGCGAGGTTGTCAGGTGCATGAGCAAGGCACAGGGTGTACGGAAATGAGAACTTCCCTGTGCTGAGCATGGCACCGGGCGGTCGGGTTGAACTGACTGATCATAGAGTCGCCGGCTGTGCTCGACCAGGTGCTTGGGAGGTGGAAGGAGGTCCGTGACCCTGGGTCTTGTGGGACCTCACCTTGGCTTCCACTTCTGAGGGGTCTACTTCCTGCCCTGGTTAAACCCCCTCTTGAGCTCCCCTGCTCCCTCCCTAAACCCCAGCTCCCCCTGCCACCTGGTGAGCCTGGGCAAGCACTGCTCCACCTCGTAGGCCATCCCTTTACTGAGCTGTGACACTGGTGGCCCTGCCTAATGGTTATGGAAGTGTAGCTGCCACGTGGCCCTCGAGGTGGCCTCGGACATCAGCCTCTGTTCTGTGGTCCACGTCTACTCTAGGCCCCAGGCCACAGCCTCACAGGGTTCTGTCGTCATGGCCTGAGGTCCAGGTGGTTTGGGTTTTCTTGTGATTTTTTTGTTCCATTTTTAAGGTTCTTATCCTCACGAGTGCTTAGGGGTTGGGTGAGACGCCCTGGCTGGCTGTTGCGTGCACTGCTCCTGTCCTGCAGTGTCTGTGGCAGGCTGGTCACTGGGTTCTCCAGGATGTTGGACACTTGTGTGGCTGAGGTGCACCCACGTTGCAGAGAAAGGAGCCTTGGACGAGGGAGGCCACGTGCTTCAGTTTAACTTCCACCTGGACCAAACCTTCCTCCCCGTGTCCTGTCCTTTCCAAGCCCCTGTGGCATTGCAGGGACGTCCTGCAGTCACCACACCTTGCACAGTGTCACTGTGTCACTGCTGGGTGGGACACCTCTGTCCCTGGAGTGACTGTGCTCTCACTTGCTCCAGGTGTCTTGGCCGGGCATGACAACCGCGTCAGCTGCCTGGGGGTGACTGACGATGGGATGGCCGTGGCGACAGGGTCCTGGGATAGCTTCCTCAAGATCTGGAACTAACACCGACAGGTAACGGAGCAACCAGTGCCCCTAACACGTGAGGTGGTGGTTCATGGTTTGTGGGTTAATCGTGGTGCAGAGGTGATGGGACTTGGGGTAAGGTAAGCCTTGACCTCAAGATGAGTAACGCGCCCTCAGTCGCACGCCCCGGCGACACCATCACCCTGATGACGGGTCTGAATTTAGAGGTGCAGTTTCTTTGTACATTTTTAAAAAACATTTTTATCGCCCGGCCGGGCGTGGCTCAGCGGTTAAGCGTTGACCTGGGATCCAGGTGATCAGGGTTTGATTCCCGGTCAGGGCACATGCCCGGGTTGCAGGCTCGATCAATGACTCTCTCATCATTGATATTTCTGTCTCTCTCTCTCCCTCTCCTTTCCTCTCTCTGACATCAATAAAGATATATTTAAAAAAAAAAACAAAAAAAAACACCCACATTTTTATCTATTTTGGTGACAGTAGTTAATAAGAGTATGCAGGTTTCAGGTGTACAATTCCGTATTCCATCATCTGTATATTGTACTGTGTGTTCACCACCCCAAGTCANACACTGTCGTCTGTGTCATGGGTTGCTTTTTCCCCTTTGCTTAATCCTTTCGCCTTTTCACCCAGCCCCCCAACCCCCTCCCCTGACAGCTGTCAGTCTGTTCTCTGTCTCTGAGTCTGTGTTTTGTTTTCCATTTTATTTACTTACTTTTCAATGAGTTTAAATCCTCGAGGGGTCCAGCATTACTCGGAGTCTGTCTCCAGTGGCCTTAGCAGGAAGGTGGCTTCAGAATTTAGCACAGACTATCCACTGTTCCCATGAGCCCCGTTACCCTTGCACAAGTGACTGGTTTGTCCAGTTTGCCACCAGGAATCACGATGCTGCTCTTTGCTTTGTACCTATGAGCCCAGACAGAACTCAGTTCCATCTCCAGCCTAAACACCTTCAGTTGTAAGAAGAGCCATGTGCTCCCTCTGGTTCTGGAGACCCCTCTTATAGCCGGGAAACATGGCCTGGACCACACCTTCCAGAGACATTTGTCCTTATAGAAGCCCTGCTCCCAGCAGCCTCCCTGGGCTCCACGGTGGCGGGAAAAGCTGTTTCTATTTTGTCTGTCAGTTGATTTTGTTCATTACATGGCACATATGAATGAGATTACATGGACTAGTCTTTCTCTAATTGGCTGATTCATTTAGATAATCCTCTCCCGGTCTCTTTACATTTCTTTAAACTCTGTTTAACACAGCAGGTGGACGCCACAGTGACTGGAAGACCATTCCACCCTGAAGCGTTACAGTGATAGCATTTCCAATCCACCCCTACTAACGTGGGCGCCCTCCCCCCTCTGAACTTCAAAAGGGCAAGATCTTTTCCTTCACTTACTGCTGAAACCAAGAGCACAATCCCACGAAGAGAAGAATCTGCTGTAAACTCGACAAGCCGTGCATTCCTCCCGGGACCATTGTCTTCGTTTGCTTTTCTGTCTGAATGAGGTTAAAAGGAAATACTGTAATAAAAATGTTAGCCAGGAAGTAAGCCAGTGTATCGTGAGGCAGACACACCTGGTCACTCTTAGATCTGAACCTGAGTGACCCTATCTGATGCTCGTGCAGAGCAAGTCAAGGACTCGATCTTGTCCTAGGCTCCAAACTCCAGGTCGTGTTTGTAACAGGATTTGAAACGTTCAGATTTCCTTTTTAAATATCTTTATGTTCAGTAGTAAACAGAGAGAGGTCTAGTGCGGTCTCTCTGAAATTGTTGATGATGTAAATTTAGTCCCTGTTTTTTTAATTTTTTTGTCTAGTGTCATGTAATTGTTGTGCACAGACATGGCACAGAGGGAAAGAACAGAACCGAGCGTGGTGACCAGCAGAGTCCAATCAGGCATCTTCTTCCTCCCATCCTCTGCCCCCTCAGTTCAGTTTTTACCACCTTGGGTTTCCTTGTGAAGCTGGGGGACGTTTATAATAATAGCCTAACACTAGCCCGTGCACCCCAGCCGTCATGACCTCTGCTTTCAGGAGAGGTGCCCGTCCTGTGCTTCGATAGTCAACTATTTGTGTATGAAACAATGTAAAAATCAATGTTTTGAAAATAATGATCTCAAACTTTCTAAGTTAAATTTTAAAAAATCTGATCGTTTGCCATATTGGGTGGGTTAACTCTTAGACTCGCATGCTGTAGAAATGCTCAAATGTGCACATAGGACTCAGTCCTTAGATGTTCTTTTTCTTTTGAGAAATAACCTCTTTAAATTGTAACCATTACGGCTCTGCCCACTATCGTCGCTACTCTGCACGCACGGGAAGCAGTACAGTGCGCAGCTCGACACGCTTGAGTGCAGGACAAGCCACTGTTTTCTTTATTTCTTTATAAAAAACAACAAAAAACAAGTCCTGTTCCAAATGATTGCTGTTGGATTCTGGGGGGTCTGGGGCAGGGGCGGGAGGCAGCAAATGGACACCCCAACCTTCCTCTGTAAACTCCTCGCGGCCCATCTCCCATGGAACCAGCCTTCTGCATCTGAGGGAGATGGTTTTTCTAACACAGACTTCCCTGGTGGCCTGCAGCAGGTGGCCCGCAGCAGCCTCTGCACGAGTGCCGTGGCCCCGCCCCGAGCACTCCCTGGCAATGGAGGCTTCTCCCCCTGTTTGTCTGACTCCTGTACAAAGGCACGGTGGGCCTGGGCCTGGCGAGGAGCCGAGGGGACCCCTCCTATCCACCCGTAGAGCCCGTCTGCACCTGCCCCCCCTTTTGTATTTAATTTTCAGTCAGTGTACTGCAAGGAAGCTGGACGCGAGGTAGACCCTGTATTAAACTGTACTGTTATTTAAGATGTAATAAAGCAGTTTGACATGAGGGACTCTGGTGTGGCTGCTGCTTGGTGGGCAGGTTTGGGGAGGCCTTGCCCCTACGTAGTTGGGTCTGACCAGCTGGTCCGAGCAGTGCATCAGCCACCCCTCGCTGCCCGTCCTGCTGCCCACTCTTCTGCCATCTCTTTAGTCCCCCCCCCCAGAGGATCCACGAAAGGAGTGGGGGGTCCCCAACGGGCCCAGCAGCCCTGTCCACCCGCAGCTGGCACCCCCAGGTCCTCTCCCGCGCTGGGGGCACAGGCTTCCCGCCTGGGTGAAAAGAGCCTAGTCTTTAAGAAGTGAGCGGCTGCCCCCAAGGTCAGAGGTCAGGGGCTGGCACGAGTCAAGGAGAGGCCCCCACCTCAGGGCGGCCCCTACGGTGAGGTTAGAGGTTACCGGTGATCCTCAGGGTTAAAGGGCGGCACTTTCTCCTAAGGGAAGGCTGCCGGGAGACAACGGCTGCGAGGCCGGGATTTGCCCCGGGGGTGAGGGTGGGGGGCGGCCCGCGCCCTGGGATCAGGTGCGGTCCTGACGCCGCCGCTGCCTCCCAAGGGTCCGCGCCGGGTGCTCGCTGGGCCCACC